TCGAGTGTGTATAACCGTCAGAGATCGGCTCATAGTGTGAAGCAGTGTGTAGTTACTTTGCGATACATTCTGAAGTGAGAGCTGCGCCAAGAGAGAGCCACGAGGGTGCAAGCCTTCTTCATCAACTTCGCGCGGTTCCGTCAACCAAGATTCTCTCACCCGCGCTTCCTTCAACCATGTTCCCCGCTTCCCTCAACTCAGATTGTGCGGTTCTTTCAACCCCCATCGCCCGCTTCCCTCAACCCGGATATTGCCGATTCTGTCAACCCCCATCGCCCGATTCCATCAACGCATAATGTGCTGATTCCGTCAACTCCGCCCCCCCGTTTCCGTCAACCCTACAGTGTTGTCAACGCATCTCGCCCGCTCTGTTGCCAGTCTCACATTCAATAAAGCCAGGTGGCTAGCCAAGTATGCCGTGCCACTGCGGTATGCGGAGTTTGGGGTGTGAGCAAGGAAGGTAGAAAAAGGCTTCCACGTGCTTCTGCTAGTCGCAATGCGGTGCGGGTGGTTAGGGTTCAGTGAGTACTCGTGGTTGGGGTAGCACGCGTGTCTGTAGCTGGAGCGACTTTTTCCGTATGGGTTCAACGAAGCAGTTGTTTGGGTTGAAGGAATCATTCCCGGGGCCATGGTTGCGTGAATCTCCGTGCTGGGGTTGAAAGAATCAGGCATGGTCGAGTGAATCTGCGTGCTGGGAGTTGAGTGAGTCTGCGTGCTAGGGGTTGAAAGAATCAGGTTGTGTATGGGTTGAACGAAGCAGTTCTTTGGGTTGAAGGAATCATTCCCTTGGACATGGTTGAATGAATCTGCGTTCTGAGGTTGAAGGAAGCAGGTTTTGAGGTTGAAGGCATCCGCGTTTCCGGGTTGACAGAATCCGCGGGCAGTGGTTGACGGAATAATCGGCGAAAAGTTGAAGGAATCCGCGCGCGACCGAGCCACGAGAACACTGCCGTTACGGTACGTCGAAGGCGGGCCGTGGACCTGAAGCCTCAAAGCCCAGGAATTTTACGCCGGATGAGGCTGCTGAAGTACAAGCTCTCAGCTGCGACAATGTTGCAAGAAAGCTTTCAGGATATGCTCAGTGTTTGAGTGAGGTCCTCTTGATAAGGAACCTGAGCCCCTTTGTGCTAAAGTGTTCATCAACTCGGAGAGGTTTGACATCAGCCGCGGGGCACAAACTGAAACTTATGCAGAATCTGTTGATTCCACTGACTCTCAACAAACACTTTCTTTCAAGCGTGATCAACCTCGGTCTTTGGCAGCGAACTTTTCGGCTTGCCACTGAAAGCCTAAGACTACCCAAGACTGTCCAATGCGGCATTCCGTGCCTGCGAAGACCCTCCGAACAGAAGGGCCCTGTGGAAAGCAGCTTTTCTTGTGGAGAGGCACCCTGAAGCTGGAGCCGCTCGAGCGTACAAGCTAGCTGGGGCACATCTGGGTGAGAAGCCGTGCTGGCAAGTGAAACCTCTATATAGATCAAATCCCTGACGCTTAGGCAAGCATCGCTTCCACAGAAAGTGCATCGAGGAGTGGGTCCAGGCGAACGAGCTCCTTGGCAGCCAAGAAAGGCCACGTGATGTCGCAAAGCCTCGCAGCAAGTTGCTTTTGGAGTCTCGACCTTGCCATGGTCCCAAGAGGCAACACGAAACGGACAAGACAGCGGTGCCCGAATGAAGAAGCTGCACAGTGCTGCCGACGCGAGGCTTCGAACAAGGAGCACATGAACCAATCATAGCCACAGCAACAAAATCGGAGAGGCTTCAACTATCCCCTCGCGGCTACACCTGGGGACCTCCGCCCAGAAGCTGAGGTCCTGCCCGCTTTGCCGTGCTGACGTGGGCGCTGAGTTGGCTTTGACGGCTGAGGCATTGATTCTGAGTTGCCCCTGGCTCTTTCCAGACCTCGTCCATTGTTGCGAGAGGCCCATGTGACCGTGGGCTTAGTCTGTCCCAAATGCTTTTCTGGGAGGGTTCCAGTTCATGCTTCTAAGCCGCTGTCCGAAGCGGAAGCATCCGGGCACCCAAGAGGACAAGCAGAAGTCCGAGCACTACCAGCGCAGACTTCGCTTCTACCTTTCACGGCTCGTCCAGCGCACCTCAGCTTCGCAATTGCAAGGGAAATTGCAGATCACGGCCGGTCAGCGCTTCTCAAGTAACACTGGGGGCGAAGGGGCAGGGCACGTCGGATTCTCAGATTTTGCTCCACACGACCGGAAGGGTTCACCACATATGATCACACCCTCTAGGACATTTTCTGTATTGCAGACTTGTGGGGCGGGCACACGTTGCAAGAATCGCGTTGAATTTCCGAATGCTTTTCTGCGTCCGCCGAGCTCGAGGACATCCCAGCAGCTTCGGAACCAGAACTACGAGCCCGATCTACTACTCCAGCAACGACACATACTTGCTTTATGCCCCTTGGCCGTAACGGCCTGCTTCAACGGCGGAATCGTATCAGGATTGAATGTTTCTTGAGTTCATTCTTTCCCAGATATGTTGCTGTCCTGGAAGCTGCTTCATCATGATCAGGGACCATGCTTCTGCTCATAGGCGCCTGCAAGGAGTTTGGTCAGAGTCAAGTTTAGATAGCGAAGAAGAGCAGATCTGTTGCCGGCGGCACTTTGGGCTTGCTTGAGGCATCGTTCTCTCCAAACCATACAGGGGTAGACCGTTGTCCTCCACTCCGCGGACGTTGAAATACCACTGGTCATGAAATTGCGGCTTTTGTCCTGGAGATGCAGGTGCCCCACACCTCTTATGCCGACAGCGTGGCAAGCAGCTTTACCAATGCTGCGCAAACGTCCGGCTCCATCGGTCATTTCGGAGGCTACATGGACATGTATGATGGGGGCGGTTGGGTGACAGACAGTGACGAGAGCTTGAAACATGCAAGGCCGTTTGGCCGTAATTGATGGTGATCGATGTGCAGACAATTTGATTTATCCATCTGTCGATCTGCCTATCTAAACCTCTCCATCCTCGACCTATGTATCGATTTATCATATCCACAGAACTTACCAAGTAACTAGCTTGGCTCGCTCGCTAACTAGCTAAGTAGCTAACAAGCTGGCTAACTAGCCTACTAACCCACTCACCTACTAACTAACTAACTCACGCACTGACTGACTAACTAACTAACCTAACTAACCTAGCTAACCTAACTAACCAACGAGCCAAGTAACCAAGCAACTAACTAACCAACTCTTTAACCAACCAGCCGACCAACCAGCTAATCAAGTGATTAATACGCTTCTTTGTTGCTAAACTAACTAGCTACCAAAGTAAGTAACTATCTTACTAACCAGCGAACTAGCTAGCAACCAACAAAACAAACAAACTGACTAATTAACTAATCAACTCATGAACTTACGAATTCACCAACTTACCAACCAACTAAGTAAATGACACCAACTGACTGAATGACTGACTGACGGACTGACTGACCGATTGAGTAACTAACCATCTAACTACGCCACTATGTGTGTATGTAAGTATGGATGGATGGATGTATGCGTGTATGCATGGATGTATTGGTGGATGTATCGATGGATGCATGCATGAATGTATGCATATATGCTTGCTTGCTTGCTTGCCCGATTGTGGGCTACTTTGTTAGTTAGCTTGTCTGGTTGGTTGGTTTCTTGGTTTCTTGGTTGGTTAGTCCGATGGTTGCTTGTTTATGTGTTAATCTGTTTCTGTGTTTGTTTGATTGTGTATGTATGTATGTCTGTACGTATGGACGTATGTGCGTGTGCACATGTACGAAGATAGGAAGTCGCAGTCGGTCACTTTGGGAAAGCCACCTCTGCGAACCAACGCAACTGAACAAGACATTCCGCCTGACATATTAGCGGATGAGGACTCAGGAAGACCTTTGACGGCAGCTGCATTGTCGATGCCACGGTCCTAAACCCAACGCCATCCTCCGCCAGCTTGAGTCGAGGCGGAGGCGGAGGTGGCTTCGGAGGCGGCGGCTTTGGCGGCGGTGGTGGAGGTGGTGGTGGATGGTGTGGGTCTCAGCCGTGCAGATCCAGTCTCGGGCCACCAGAGTAGAGGAGTAGAATTACGAGACCCGATTTTGTCAAGGTTGCACGAGGCAGGTGCTTGCGAAAAGTAGATACCGACACGCTTCGAGCACAGGATTCGAGGCCAAAACGTCTGCATTGGGCCATTGGGACACTATCCTGAGTTCCACCAGGTATTCGGCAATTCGTTTGTGCTGCTGAGGTGACTGTGGGACGAGATTGGACACGTTGCCATACATCGCTAATCGCAAAGATGCAGTGCTGGAAAGGGGGCACTCAGACCGCGAAGCCGTTAGGGCACAAGCTTCGCACTGCGAGCCATGAACGAACCCATGCTTCGTTCCATCCCAACCTCAAGCCCTGCATGCCCCCACTTGGCCATTCTATACTGCAGGGATAGAGGTTTTTTCAACGATTCCCCTCTGGGCTGAAGACTGCAAGTACGACCCCATCATCAAGCGCTTCCTGCTGACCGGTTGGTTTATGTTTGTGTCATTCCTGGAATCCGCTTTCGAGCAGCCACATCAGTTGGAAGAAGATAAAGATCTTCCGCGCATGTTACACCTCTTCAAAAGCACTCGCAGATATTGGGCGCAGTAGCTGGTCGTGCGAGGTGGACAATCCAAGGTTCCTTTGCAGATGAAATTATATGTTTCAGGATGTGAGCGCTGGCTAGGCGTTCTGTCTCCAGGAGAGCCAATCATTGAGGACCACGACAGAGCAAACCCCACTCGCTCAAACGCCAACCGATCAGCTCGTCAAGTGCATTCAGATCGACGGGGAAGATCTACATCGCCCCGCACGGACCAACTGCACACATCCATTTACTCACTTGCCGACAGTCTCGCAATTATCCGAGAACTCTGATGCTGGACAGCCGACCTACAAGGCTATCACAGCACTAGAGCCAAGCACCATGTAGAAGCAAGCAGGCACCTAGTGGCTTAGCTAGTGTCCTTGCTCGGCCCAAGCGCAGATGGCAGCGAACGACAAGTCGAAGGACCGACTTGCGATCCAGATCAAGGAAGGAACATTCAAGAACGACACCTTCGCTTTTGTTCATGTTTTCAGCAGCAGGTAACATCTGTGCCAGTTCCAGAAATTCAACTTGTTGGAGACCACGACCCAACAAGCAGCATATGAAACCCGGGCATCGAGTCTGGATGCATACATGCCACTGGTGCATGACGAGGCACGCAATCACAAACCTTGGCGGGGGTTGGTCCAGTCTCACCGGGGTCTTGAAACCTGTGCTACCGGCCCCCGGAGCTTGACTATACAGGAAGTCCAAACTTGGGCACCAAAGTAAGAGTCTGATTAGCGACATCTAGGGACCCGATATCATCCGATGATCTCCGTGTCAAAGAGATGGGGTGCTTGTCCGTTTCGCAGAGAAGACATCAACTGAGTGGACAAGTCGGATTGCTTTGAACGCAGGAAGCCCAGGAGGATGACGATCGCGAGGTAGCAGAGCATCTCCAGGTTGCCGCCCGGGGTGTATGGCAAGAGTCAAGCGCAGACAAGTTTGACTTTCTAGCGCTTGTTATCGGTTGGGAACGCGGTCTAAGCATCGTGGGTTCAGCATGCACTGTGGCAACAAGTAGAAGTGCAGGGGTTCGGTGCTGCAGAGCAGGAGCCGGGTTTGTCTTGTAAGCCCGCCTTGTGTTCGATGAGCTTCTGCTCGACTGTTGGATGCTTACCGCAGCCGCTTGTAATGGCACTTCCTTGGAACCCCAGTGCGGTTATGTCCACTCCGAGTAAGACCCGGGATGTCTGATAGTTTGTCTGTTCGCCCGGCGTATCCCCACTGCGCCAGGGTGCGGTCGAGGCTTCCTTTCGACTTAAGCGTCTGCTGCGAGACGACTTGAAGGCCAGCCTGGAAGGTAGGACAGTGAAGATCGCAATCCTTTCCCCATGCGACGCTGCGTGATTCTGACATCACACCAATGTTCCACGAAGAAACTGTCGCCCGGAAGTCACGGCCGCATGCACTGTCATCATCTTAAGTCCGAGCCATATCTCGCAAAGATTCTCTCTCTCTCTCTCTCTCTCTCTCTCTCTCTCTCTCTCGTTCGTAGCGTGCCTGAGGACAACCTACAAGAGCAGCCCGCGAAGAAGCCGCGCTTTGAAGAGCAGAATGTCGGCCCCGACGAGGCACGGTGATCGCGGCGGCTCTTCGATGCTGTATCAGTCGATTTCCTCGCGTACATATGTTACGGTGCGGTGGGACAGACAAAGATGTCAAAGACGTAGATATATAGAACATGGTTATATTGTTATACTGGCATCTAGGCAGACCGTCGAATTGCTTGCGTGCATTTGCGGGCACGTGCACGTGTGCAAATGGGCGTGCAGTATGGGGTTTCCTCGTGCTTGCATCCTATGGAAAGACTTGTGTCGTCATAGCACATGTTCTACACTCTACACGAAATCCAGAAGTCGCTCATGTCGCCTGAACTTTCTGCAGAAACACGAGTTCCGCGCGTTTCAGAGGTGTGCTCAGCAACACGGAAGTCCCCGCAAGCATCCCATTTCGTGTAAGGGCTCGACTCAGCATCTCTCTTGTTGTTCTCCCGCTTTGACCAGCAAGATAATCTCAGGAATGCCTGCTTCTTCATAACGGGGCCTAGCTTAGTGGTGTTGGGAGTATATATAATCAGGAAGTGTGGTGGGTTCTGACTCGAAGCCTCGTGAGGGGAAGTCCACGTTTTCTGATTTGGCTCCGGCCTGGCTGTTGCAGGTGGCTCGGATTGACAGAATCCTCCGCTGCTGAGCTTGCTTTATGCTGTGACATGGTGTTTCATTTTAGGATCTTCAGCTAGGAGGATTTCCCCGGTCCCTTTCGAGAACTGCAGGTGTAGCGTGTAATTGGAGACTCACGACCGAGTAGACCGCGGATCTGTTGAGGATCGCCTGATTGACCGGATTGGGCACCTGACTTCTTGACCGACTCAAGGTTCAATCGTTCCTGGCATTGTTTGGCAATACCTGTCGCAAGAGGGAGCGCCCAAAGCTTCGGGATTCAGAGCAACTCTGGGCTTTGTACTCCTTAGAATCTTCCTCGCCGAGCCTCTAAGGAAAGTGGGGCCTTCAGGGCGAGGCTCGTTGTCTGCGGAGTGCACCCCGGTTTTGTTCGAAACCTCGAGCCTGCCTGTAGCTCTGGACTCTTGGATGGGCAGAAGCAGGTCCAAGAATGAGAACGAGAGATCGGTAGTGAGTGAGTCTATTCAAGGGAGGTTTCAGTCTTTGCAGCTGCGACGGTGATAGGTCCGGAAGGTTGAGGCGGGTTCTCTCGCGGTAGAGTACTGGTGACCATCACCACTCCTCTGCATGATCAGTCTTTCTCCTTTCCCTGCAAATCCTGTATCCATAGCTTGAAACGAGAGCCAAGCTCAAAGCAACTCCACGGAACCTTCTCAGCATTCTGTCATGCAGTGAAGCATTCATCTGGCACGAACTCCCCAATTCTCGGAGCCATCCTGTGCCAGACAGTGGTCCGGCACGTGCTGGAAGGGCTCAATGCCTTCGAGTTGAAGGAGCTTGAGAATTCTGGGTGCGACAGGGTGCTGTGGTATGAGTACTTCATGCTTGGGTTGAGGACTTGATTCTACAAAAAACTGACCATAGTATGTGCTTTACCTAGAATGTTCCTGCGTAGAGATGTCGTGTTCATAGTAAGCAGGCTCGAGCGTACGTGTCTTGTTCTTTCTCGCCGCCATGGCAGGTACTACCCGGACACAACCAATGAGTGGCGAGGTCCGGCTGAAGCTTGGCTATGCAGAAAATCACAAGCTGAGATCTAGTCTAGAGGCCATGCCGAGGAACTTGAGTGCCGCCGGCTACTGCAGAGGTTAAGGTCTCAGGCAGATGTCATCAGTCAGACAATGTGTGATCTGGCTCCTCAGGAACTGTCTGCTGTCCACATCGCACAGGCCTGTTATAGCGACCTTGCACTGCCGGGATCAGTCAGCTTGAACTTGCACAAGCCAGATTTGAGAATCTACTTGTTTGGAAATTCCACCAGTGTTCTGCTGCAGTTAGCTTGAGCTCATTGCTGCAGCAGAGCTGATAACTTTCACGATTCTGCGCAGATTGTGCCAGTCCGCAGTGCTCAATGACTAGACCGAGCCTTTCTGAATCCGGGGCTGCGGGGTTCTTCCGCCTGCACAGATGCGTGAGATGATGGGCCAAAGTCGCCTGGTCCGCATTCGGAGCTTGGGTCATCCGACCAACGAGTCCTGGTTCGGAAGCATCACTGCGCTCCCGAGCATCCACACAAGCTGTCGCGAGTATCCCAGAGCAGCTCAGGTGGCGGTTCCCTCGATCCGATTCAGGCATTCCGGGCTCATTGGGACCTGGACGGCACGCCCCTTGCCTTGGCAGTGGAATTCCTACATGTAGGAAGACGCTTGCAGACTCAAGGTATCATCCAACTTTCAGCGTGAGCTGGGAATCAAAATTGCGATGACGCCTGCTGCTCTGCCTCCTGCTGCTGCTGCTGCCGCGCCTCATGCCCATTGCTCCTGCTCCAGCTCCTGAACCTCCTGCTCCGCACTATTCGACGACACGATGAACCTCGCTACGTTCTTTCCTGACCGAGCTGGGTGACAATATCACATGTTACGACCGTGTCGTGCAGTGTTTCCGATCCGCCATTGTTGTTCATCCCTTATTTGTTTGTGTTCCACCGCCCGAGGCAAGAAGTTAGACTTCGTCTCCTTTGCCACAAGGACACCGGATGTGCTCAGATCACAGGTCCTGGAAGGCTTCCAACATTTTACATAAGTCTGGCTTTGGAAGGACGTGCGCTATGTCATGACGCACTTTGACGGAACTCGGCCGTGGGACGCTGAGCATGGAATCGCTTGTTGGGCGGAGTGGGAAATCGCGGCTATGCCACTTGCATTGTCATTCATGGCAATTGCTGGGGGGGGGGGGGCAGGGCGGCCAAAAAACAGGATGCTAACAACTTTGCAGGCCCCACGCGTGTGGAATGCGCTGACAACTTTCGATATTCCAACCACTGGGCAAACTCGGACGTTGCCCCCGGACTTTCACCGCCATCAATGCTGCACCAGGGCAATCAACGAGCTGTATCAACACACCCGGGTGACACGAATGCCTGCCTTCGCGAAATTGTGACCGGCAGCTTAGAGGTTCTCATGTGACTCATGTGCAATAGAAAGACTGAGAAGCAGAACGTGCTTTCCATTGAGCGGCGGGGAGGAGCAAAACTGTTTGCTTTCCAATGCGCTTACTTCAGCTAGAAGCAAAGTTGAAACTCCAGTCTTATGGGATCCTTGCGCTGAAGTATCCGACGTGCACGAGAAAGTCGAAACGTGTTTCTCAGGCTCGAACAAGTGATGGAGGAGGCGAAGTCCCAACCGGCGTTGCGAGGCCTCGACACAGATTTTATTGCGGTCGATGCTTTTGTCAGGTTGGAAGCCGTGGCAAACATGTATAATGCTGCATTTTGGATGAGTCGGTGTTTTTGGCAAGCCTCGGTGACAGCATCGATTGCCACTTTCAGGAGCTATGATTGTTGAACGATTCAGGTTTGAAAGCTGCAGGCGCCAATTCAAACGCGGTGTAGCATGGCTCCATGTCGTTTGACAGTTGATGGCCCAAGCATTTAGCATGGGTCCTCGGACATGTCGTTTGCCTTACACTCTCCGCCTGAATTGAGGTCGAAGGCCTTATCGTTTTAGTTCGTTTGCTGTGACTGGGGCTATGAATGCCCAAACTACCGACCGCTTGCTTTTGCAGGTCTTGGCATCGGGGCCGCGCCGGCTTTCCAGTCAGGATCAAAGGCAGCCGAAATGTGCCATGAAGGGAACATCATTGCACCCGAACCCCGAATCGGAAAGAACTGGAGAGGTGCTCGGGCGCTACTATCGCCGGGATCTTAGATGATGCTACCCCAGGGGTGAGGATGTGCTTGAGTGGGTAGAAACTTGTCAGCACAGACTCCTCGAGAGCTTTTCACCGCTGGCCTGGTAAGGCCTTGAAATCATTGATCCTACAACTGACGCTGTCGTTTTCGGTGACGCGAACCTGTCCTTCGCCTTGAATCTGGCCAGACATCGTACCCTGGCAGGGAATTAGAGGAGATTGAGAGTCGATGAGGTTTGAAGTCATGACAGGCCACAGCGCAACAACAACCTTGCACAACGGAACGGCGTTTCGATTCCAGTTGAGCAGACCCATTCCGCACAGGCAAAGTCCTGGGCCATGTGGGCCGGGTTTTGGCCACCACCTTCGAGAACCTTGAGCCGCTGTGCTCAGATTCCGGGTTCAAAACGTAGGCCAGAGGACCTGCCAATGCTCAACTGAGCACGAAGTGTGCTAGGTTCAGGTGGGATAGAAGTGTTCAGATGCGGTCCTGAGCGGCACAGGTTTTTTTCAAAACTCTGTAGGTGCTAGGTGTATGGCGTTCTTTGTCAGTTTAATTTCGATGGGAGAGAATCAGCGGTGTAGAAGGAAATTAGCACCAAAGTCCTGATGACACGTGACTTTTTGTCGCAGTTAGGACGCTCCGGGAGCGGTACATGGAGCCGGACGCTCAAGGGTTTGCATCTAGTTTTTGGGAAAGATCGCTAGGCACCTGAGGCTGACCTGTCTATACGGCTGCTTATCCTTTTCGGAGCAGGCTGCTTATCCCTTTTCGGAGTCGGGCGTGGTTCAGAGATTTGGATATTGACTGTGATTCTCACTTCTTGACGTGCTTCACTACCTGGTGTTCCTGAGGAGTTTGGATGCTGACAGTGACAGTCGGCTGAACTAATGCAGCAGTTCTGCGATGTGTCCCAGCATCATGTGATGGTGCTGTGGGTGCGAGTCCTCGCTTAAAGTTTTGGTCACAGTATTTCGAACAGTGGGTCGAGTCGAGGCTCTTGGTCCCGAGTCCTTCGCAGAGCCTTCGTCCGGTCAGCTTTGGTGCTTTGTGACGCGACTGGGATGTTAACATGATACTCAATCGGGCTTCACGGTGTCTGCACAGCCTGAAGTAGGCTTCCGCCGCAGCAGCTGTTGTTGTCGTGGTGGTGGTGGTGGTGGTGGCTTCCGCTGCTGCTGCTGCTGTTGTGCATCTTGTGTCTATTTTATTGTGGTCAATTGCGTTTGCGACCCGCGCAGCTCGGACTCTGCTCAGATTGAAGATGGTTTGCATCACATGTTGTCAAGCTGCCTGTCCAGAAGCATTGCCTTCGAGAAGATCCCCCATGCCATTCTCCCAGACTTGACAAGGATCAGGAACTACGGTAGTTTATGGCCAGGGCCATGGCACATCTTTCTTCCGCGATGATTTCAATCATCCTCTGCGTTCACCTGCTACCGGGCCTGGCAAATGTTCTCAAGGAGGCCACGCCGTTTGTCTTTGCGGAATGCCAGCTCTGCACGGTTCAGGGCCAGGGATCTGTGAAGTTTCGCAAGATGGAAGAAGATTTTCAAGCAGCGACCGTGAGTATTCCATGCCGGCGACGTCCCGTGCAAGGGCCAAGTTCTGCCGTATGCCATGCACACTCGGTGCTTCGACTTAAACACCCTATCTACACGGCAGTTGTGGGCTAGGTCGAGGCCTTGGTCATGCGCTCGCCCAAAGTAGCGTTTCAGGCTTGAGAGCTCCGCTCTGCTTTTCTTTGTGTCTGTTGTGGCTCTGTTGCTCGTGGAGCCTCGTTTGTTGGCTGCAGTCTTTGATCAGAGATGAAGCTCGATTCAGTCAGTTGAACGGGACGTGGTCATGCGCGCAAGCAGTCTTGAGTTATATCTACTCAACACGCAAGTCGAGAAGTTTGCATCTTGGTGAATAATCTATACTGTAGCATGCCCCGGTTGCGGCACCACACCTCCGGCCGGGCCCGGAACCTTCATGTTCGAGAACTGCTCGGGAGGTCGACGTGGCCATCGTGGGTGCAGGCTACAGTGGTCTTTCTGCTGCGCGCGTGCTGAAGAGGTGGCGGTATCAGTTTGAATTCGGCAGGAGACTCACCTCAGCCAGTGCTCGTGGGTGGGCATTCAGCTTAGGACGTTTGTGTTGGGGTCAATGTCGGTGACTGGAAGCCTAGGAGTGGATTAATTAGGATTGCCTCTTCAAGGTTCGATCCATCGGCATGGGAGAGCAACTAGTTCGCGCTCGAAGCATACTGCAGCACCCCTGCAATGAAAGTGTAAGTTTGCACTGCGCGATACTGTCCGTGTCTCGGGGCGCATCCGTGCTTCAACGCAGTCGTACCCATCGTCAGGTGTCGCGAAGTGCAGAAGCGCTCCAGCACTGTCAAAGTTATGAATTCTGCAGTTTCAACAAGGCGCTAAGAGCAAAACACTGCTCCGACGCTAAAGCATGCTAACAGCCAATCTGACGGCCTGAGACAACCTGAACGCATGCAAGTGGCTACCGCAGTCAGCTTTGTACCCTTCGAAAGGCATGGGGTGTCCTTTCATGTTCTCGAAGCTCGGGAACGAGTTGGTGGACGGATCTTGAACCAGGAGCTCCGGACAAAACGTGCTTGCGGTGGTTCCTGCTAGTCGGGACTCATGAGGTCGTGAGGGTTCGGTTCTGCACGGGAGACCCATGGCGAGAACTTGTTGTGGCGGCAGCGCTGACACGCCACCCAGGAGGTCGTCGGTCAAAATCCGGATGACGCGCCTTTTACGGCATGTTGAAATTGATTTTTGTTGGTCTAGTGAGTCCAGTGGACAGGCCAAAACTTGCTGCTTTTCTATGGAGCAATGCCTGTTGCAAGTTCGGCGCGTGAGTGCTTGGTGCACGAGCTTCTTTTGAGGAATCCCTAGACTGCAGACACTCCTCGAAGCTACAAAACCCTGCGTTGCTCTTGCAGTGGTTCGCGTTGTTGAGGTGCGACTGTAAGCCCAGGATCCGCGAGTTTTTGTTGGAAATCCAATGGTCTAATACATTTATCGACCTCTAGTCCAAACATTGCTTTCCCTGCATATCCCGAGGTGGTGGAAATGGGGGGCGAGTGGCTGGCCACGGGTCACCATGAAGCCTTGCGAGCCTCGGTTGAATGTGGAGTCAGGGCTACAGGCCCAGTGTCTGCAGCGAACCCCACTGTATACTTACCTGCATGGCTCACCTCCATTCGAATGATTCCAGAGCGTGTGATCTCACCAGTCAAGCCTGCAAGCCAACATTTGACAATCGGGACAAACAGTAAGCCTTCAGAAATCAGAAAGGTATCACAGTCTGTCGAAACTCTGTGGTCGTCATTTGAGCACTCCGCACTCCCTCAAAGCCTAAACTGCAGTAACTACAAGTCCAAGTATGACTCCGAGGGCTCTTCAAGGAGTTGGGCTTCGAGTTCTTCCATCGACCTTTCAATACACTCGGCGGCGCCAGCAATGCCACAGTTCCTCCCTGCCGCGGTGCGTGTGCCGTGCGAGCCACTGGACTTAAGTGCAGTAGGATGTTTCGGTTGGTTGAGGTCCGATCATCCGATTCCTATAAGACAGAAGGCCACAAATCCCTCCAACACCGTGCTGAGACCAGACGGAAGACGGGGCCGCCTCCTTCCCCCGTTGAGAACAGAGAAGGCAGAAAGAAGCAGAGAAGGCGGACATAACAAACTTCGGCTTCGCTGCTGACGGAGTCGCCAAATACTTGCGGCTGCTGCAAAGCAGCAGCTTTCTACGGTTCGGCTTGAACCAGGCCGCTCCAACTTAGCCTGATTCGAAGCAGAAGCAAGTCTTTCTGAGTTCCCAGGTCCGTTCCGAAGATGGCTGGCACAGTGTCTCATCGCCTGATGCCGCGGTGAAGCTTTTCCCACAAGAGGCGTTCGTAAGCCTGGGGGTTTGGGGTTTGGGGAACAAAGTTCCAAGAGCGTAACACATGCTTGGATGGCTTCAGCATTAATTAGTTGCGCTTTCCCTTTCAAAGTGCATCGCATGTCTATATGTACTGCTTGGCGATGAAAGCTATCAGGTGTGGGGCTAAGCATGAAAGAGTGTCACCGAAGCCTTTGGCCTTCATGGCTTGTTGGCGTCCCTTTGCACGAAGCTTCGAAATTGCTGCAATAAACGCAGTCTCGCTTCGAGTTGGGCAGTGGTAGCACAAGAGGTGCGGTCTTTGGTTCATCAGGTTAAGACAGTGACGAAGGGCTGCAATTGCCCCGGCGCCAAAGCCTGAGCAAAAGTCTCCATCGTTCAATGCTACACAGGAGCGGCAAGCTTTGCAAAAAGCGCAAGATGAGATGTCCAAGGAGGCCAGCTTGTCCTTACCATGCTGCATCGCATGGAATCTCAGCAAGAACAATCACTTGCAGTCACCGTCACTTGCGTTTGACTTGGGCAGGTGCGGAACACTCCTTGCCACGCCCCGTTTTCCAATCCGAATGCCTCGCTTTGGGACTCCCTTTCCTACGATGCCTTCCTGAAGATGGTTCTGGGCTTGCAGCATTTTCCGATGGCCTACAACACCCTCTATGCCTATGCTGACGATGCAGAGGCCTTGAATCAGATCTCAGCCCTGTGCTTCTTGAATGCATCGAGACTCTTGTATTCTCGCAGTGGTTCCCGAACCTTCTTCTAAGTCTCAGTTTTCGTCTTAATGAGCCATGCGCGACCCGCAGCTTCAAGCACCTCACCTCAACTCATGGATACAGCCGCCCGTGCCGAACCTGAGTTGTGCTGTGGCAGCTGAACTGCTCCGATGGTGTGGAGGGATCTGGAGGGGACGCATGGCAGCACAAGTGCGTGGCTGTAGACTTGGGGCCAGGCCTATGTTGGGGCTTCATAATGCTCCGGCACAGCCCTTGCAAAGTCAGTTTGGGCTCGGCACGGAGGAGTGCATCCAGCCAGCTTGTTTCCAAGATTCGCGTGGTTGAAATCTGCGAGCCACTAAGCCTGGACTGATGGATGTTGCCAAACCGCTCACGCCAGAACAAGAGAATGATGTGTGTATAGACCGAAGCCTCAGCAACATTTCCGGCACGTACTCTCCGCAAGCTTCACATCCAATGAGCCGAATCCAACCCAAACCCTACAACACACAGATTCGTTTTCCACGCAAGGAAGACTTCTGGCGGGTCCGCGGGGGGTCCCAGGCCCCGGCCATACGCATGGCTGCACAGCTGGGTTCCTCAACCATGACAAGCAGCTATTGGTTCGGAGTTCGAGGTACTATGCTTTGGGGACTTGGGGGGATCAGTGGCTTCAAGCCCACGCTGCAAAATTCCCAATCTTGGAGTACGGTTCAACGCTTGGGGGTTGCGGGCATGATCTTGATATGCTGGATGTTGAGTGCGGTTTTACCTGCTGGCACGGTTTGGAAAGTCGCCGGGCGTGCGTTTCTGCCATACTGCACGAGGCTTCCCAAACTGATTCTGACAGCATATGAAGATAGCATTTCCAAGACCGCCTGTGAGCTTGATCGAACTTCTACTGTTCTGCAGGCAATTCTTCTTTGTGTGACATCGCCGCCCAGGAGAGGATCTGCAGCTGGGGGCCCATGTCACCGCCATACACCGACGTGATAATTCGCTGTACGAAGTTCACAGCTCCAAGGGTGTGGTGGCTCGGGCTGACAAGCATTGCGATTTACGACTTGACGTGTATTTCAGGACTTGTCGGACTAGGAAGGCGTGGTCTGAATACACTACCTGGGCTGCCCTTCACCCAAGCGAGCCGAGCGCTGAACAGTGAGTGAACTTGCAGTTGGCAAACCCATGGATCTTCGTAGGAGCAGAAGCAACAAACATTGTTTCGACGGGTGGCTTTGTGACTCGCAGTCGCTGATGCACACTGCAGAGTGCGTTGGCGTCCTTTTCTTTTGAGGTTGCGGGCACAATAGACTCAGGTTCGTTTAGTATGTGACGAAGGCAACCGCCGTTAGGCCTCTATGATCAGGCAATTAGGCATTGGGTTAATTAGACATTTCAAGGTTGTCGCGAAGCACGTGATCGTGGCTGGCCTCACTCCGAGTTTGATAACTGCTATCGATTTCCAGCCGCCTTTGGATGGAGCGATGGATCAGTTGTTGGAGAAGCTCGGATGACTACGGATTTCTGTGAAAGCCTGGGAAATTCACTTCACAAATCAATGTAGTCGGGCTTTCAGAAGCTGCGGTTGCAAGCGAGACGGCGAGGCGCATGCCAGTGGGGACGACTATGAAGTATTCCATGGTCTACGAGAAGCCTTGGTGGCGAGAGCGTGGAGCCTGGGTTGCGCAAGGAGTAGGTTTCTGTTTCTGCTACATCTTCATTTATGAAGGGAGGTATCTGTTGCACACATACACACTCACTACTACAGCCCAGGATACCTTGGCAAGATGATATTTCTCAACACGTCCGCGCCCAGCAACTACGTGCACAATTGCCCCTGAGCTTCACCCATCAGGTGAGTTTGGGATTTGTGCTGCTTGTTCACATTCCCGAGGCTTCGACAACTCTCCATATTCTTGGAGCCGCGGTGCAGCGACCTGAGACCTGTTCCATGTTTCACTAGAGCCTTTGGGCAAAGTCATCTGGGTTGTGCTCGGATTGGGGGAATTCGTTGCAGGGGGGCTCATACTTTTCGTTGGCATTCCAGATTGGTATCAGAGCCTTGGCGACATGATGCGGCGTGCAAGGGCTTCGCCCATGCAGTTGCACGGAGTCCTGCGTAAAGCTTGAGCCTACAATGCTAGGATGTAAGCCTGCCCCAGAGGGCCTTCAGCTGGGCTTCACTAGATCCGGAGATTTCAAGCTTAAAGCCCAAGTCAAGTGACAGAATGCAAAACCCTTCCGGGCATTCACAGGTCCTCACTTGCTTCACCGAAGGTGCCCAGAATCGAGCCACGTGGTCGATAAGTGAGCAGATATCAACACACGAGAAGTTGTCGAGCGCGCAGGGGTGGCAGCTTTGCCTTTCGCCCTCTCTCTCGTCTCTCGTGTTCGCTTTATGTGGTTTCAAATTTGTGTGTGTTTTGCTTATGGGCCGTTGTCATGCATTAGGAGCACCCACGGCGCGCACCTTGCATGACATTTACTTTGGACGTCATGCGCGCGTAGCTTTTGGTCTCAAGCATGACCGCGTAAGTAGGGTAGGGTAGGATGCCGGGACCCTGGTTCCTTCCACGGGAGGACCAGGGTGCATGGAGTGCCCTGCCCGCTGCGCGCGGAGACTATGTAGAGCTTAAGCTCCTCGATTCCTCACGGCTCCCGCAGGGCATGGGATGGTGAGGATCGAGGAGCGGGAAAACCCCGGCCGATATGGGGAATGGTTTGCGGGTACCATCGTCGCGGTGTCAGATGGTTACCTGCAATGGTGGCTAGATGAAGGAGAGGGCTTTTCGGAGCAAAGGTGGTTCTCCTTCCACGTCTGTGCCAAATCTCCTGCCACCTGCAGGGGATCAAAAGGGCACCCCGACATGGAGTTCCACTTTGAGTCCCTAAGGAGCATCCCCCTTGCGGAGCTCGGGACCTCTCATCAGCCCCCGTGGCTCACCCAACCCGCTGCGGCGGCAGATCTAAGATGGGAGCTAGATCGCTTGGGTGGCCAGCCACCAGCACCAGCTGCGGCTGAGGCAAAGGGGGGAAAGAAAGAGCGGGAGAAAGGACTCGCTGCACCCTCTTGGGGAGCCCCTCCAGGCGCGGAAGCGAAGCCTCCGGGGCTTGCCGCAGAGCTCGACGACCTGGCCAGAGATCTTAAGGATCCTGGGCAGGGTCGGAGGGATAAGCGGAAGAATCGCCGTGAACGCTCTCCGGAGCGACGCGCCAAAGAACCCCGTGCGCGGGAGAGAGGCTCTGGTCCGGCAGCCGAGGCAGAGGCCGCCCTCGAGAAGAAGCGGCGCCGCTGGCTGGACCCTACAGGCCACCTCAGCGTCTCCTCCGAGTCGGAGGGCAGGAGGGGCCGGAGCCCAAGAAGGCGACGGTCTGAGGACCAGAGCTCGCCCAAGGAAAAGAAGAAAAAGAAAAAGAAAAGGAGCCGGTCCAGAGAGGCTGGCCGAAAGGCGGACCGAGGGCCCTTTGGTGGAGGAGCCAAGGTCGACCTGGGCGAAGATGGGTCTTCTTCAGACTCGTCTTTTCGCGAAGCCTCCTCGTCTCGCGACCGTCAGCTGCAGCTCCTGGAGTACTCGGAGAGGTACCCGGGGCGGCTGTCGGCTCGTCTTCTGCAGAAGATGCGAACGCTGCTCGCACGGGACGGGGGGGCGCTGAACTTTGCAGCCCGGGGAGACCCAGCGCCACCGGTGGCGACGAGCTACCTCCTCACGATCATGGTGCCGGAGTACAGGTCAAAGGTGGGAGTTCGCCTTCTACGGGAACTCAAGACCCTGTGCAAGGCACTGGACCTGGTGGTCGAAGGGGAAGCGCGGCGCGCCGCAGACCTTCTCGCGCAAAGAGTGAAGGCGATCGAAGCGTCGCTGGCCGACGATCACTGGCTGAAGGCGCAGTTCCTGGAGCTGGTGCCTCGGGAAGGAAGTCTCCTGATGGAGACAGACGAGGCAGTGATGGCGGCGAGGCAGCTGGCCTTGGAGACCAAAGTGAAGGAAGCAGGCCAGCGGAACTGGGGCCGGGGCAAGGGGCAGTGGTTCGCCCGCCCGGACGAAAGCGAGCCGCCACCGCTCCGGACCACGCCCCCCGAGGGGGAGAAAGGCAAAAAGGGCGAGGGCAAAAAAGGGGCGAAAGGAAAGAAGGGGCAAAAGTAGAGCCCGCTGCGGCGGAGGCGGAAAAAGCCCCAAAGAAGCCCCCGAAGGCCAAGACCGAGAAGAAGGTCAAGCAGGAGGCCAAAGGCGGCAGACCGCCGGATGATGATCCCCCGGGCGACCCTGATGGGGATGGAGATCCTCCTGAAGAATGGGACGAAGATGAAGAAGGGGAGGAGGAGGCCCCGGCGGAGGACCCCACCGTAGAGGCACGGGGTGCGCCCGGGACAAGAAGAGGAATGGGATGATGAGTTGTTGGAGGCCCTTGGGGTCAGTGAAGATGAGGATACCCTGCGCGACTCCTTGGAGCATGCTGCCAAGCATGCGGCGCCGGGGTGGTGGAACCTCAGCCACTTGCAGGCGGCGGTCCGCCGACTTTTGGGCACCAAGCCCACCTGGGAACAGTTCCTCGAATGGTTCCTGAATGAGGGCAGGCGGTTCCCGACTCCTCTTGGATCGTTCTTCCGCAGGATGGAGGAGACCGAGGCAGCCCCCCCGGGCGCGGAGCCCACAAAAAAACATGACCTGCTCCCGATCCATGTGGATGCCACTTGCAACATGAGGTGGTGGAGACCTGTTCCCAGGTGGTGCTTGAGACCACCCTGCACGCCCTCAACTTCCACTACTGCTGTGGTTGGATCAGCCCTGTGTGCTGGCCACCGCCAGAGGAGGTCACCCCGCGGCAAGCAGAGGCGGTGAAAGGGATCGCGAAGAGCTGCGCTGGGTGCTTGGGGCGTGGCTTGCCATTGGGAGGACCGGCCGAGGCCGAGAAGATCCTCTCAAGTCGCTCCCGCGACTATGAAGGCAACATGGTGGAGCGAGTTGGGGAGATCCAAGCAGATCTGGTGATCGGAGCCTGGCCCAACGTTGGTGAGGCGGCGGTCGCTAGCGTCACGGATTTCTTGACCGGTGACGCCCTCCATGCGGTGATCTCGCCGAGGCTTCACTTCAAGAGGGGAAGCGACCAGCCGAGGACCTCCAAGAAAGGCAAGGTTCATGCCTCCCAGGAGGAATGGAACAAGGTCGTCTCGGCAGCCTTCCAGCGCAACATGATGGGGCCAGTGGACGAGAGCGCTGTCCCTCGCGATGCGCAAGGCCACCTGATCACTAATGGCGCCGGGGCCGTGGAGAAGAGGAAGCTGGTCGGTGGCAAGGAAGTCACGATGCAGAGGTTCATCAGCAACTTCGTGCCAATCAATGAATACCTGGAGGCCCTTCCAGGAGACCAGGACTTCCTCCCTTATGTGGCCCAGCTGGGCCTGCTGCTCTTGGATGACAGCCAGACTCTTATGATAGAGTCGGAGGATCTCACCTCGGCCTTCAACCTGTTCCGCATGCCGGACGCCTGGCTGCCTTACTTCTCTTACGCCAAGAAGGTGCCAGGCCACCTGATGGGCTCCAACGAGGAGTGGGTCAGGCCGGGGCTGCGAGTCATCCCTATGGGATGGAGCTCCGCTGTCACCATCATGCAAGCGGTGCTCAGGAACCTTGTGTTCGACAAGGCAGGAGTACCGGCAAGCATGGAGATCTCGAAGGTCAAGGAAATACCCGCTGAGGGCGGAGCTGTGCTTTACCTTGACTCCTTCGACCAGGTGCGGATGGTTGACACCACGCTGCGTGCAGTAGAAGAAGGTGTCGCCAGTCCGGAGCATGAGCGTTTCAGGGCTGCCTGCAAAGAGAGAGGGCTTCCTCTCAACGCCTCCAAGTCCCTCGCCGGAGCTCTCCGTGGAGGCATCCAAGGAGGGGTGCTTGATGGAGACAAGGGAACGATCGCAGTTGGGAGCGACAAAGCCGAGAAGCTGGTCCTGGCCACTTTGGGCCTCCTGGCTTCCTCCTCCTGGTCGGAAGCTGCCTTGAGGAGGTGGGCTGGGATCGCGACCTTTGTGGCCGCTTTCCGGAGGCCGCTCTTCGCTGTGTTCCAGGAGATTTTCCCTCTGATCGAAAGAGCCAAGGAGGGGGCGGTGGACCCAGACCCCCAGGTCATCGATGAGATGCTGACCTTCGTGTTCCTTCTCCCCTTGGCTTCCACCTCCTTGAGGGCCAGAGTGTCTGGGGAGATCTCCTGCTCCGACGCATCCCTTTGGGGAGGGGGCGCTGCCGTGGCTCAGACGGCAAGGAGGCCTACTGTTGCACCAGTGGAAGAGGATGAGCCCGGGATCTGTGCCCGCTGCGGCGGAGAAGAATCTTGGGGCTCACACGGCCTCTTTTACCCCTGTCCGGCTTCATGTGGGAGATCATTTTGCTCCACTTGGTGCATTGCCGAGCATAGAGAACACAGGTGTTCCAGAAGGAACTACTTGTGCCCCACCTTTGCTGAGTTCTTTCCTGAACCTGGGCAGCCTCTCACTGAGGCCATGGCCCTTAACAAGGTGGCCGTGCTCCCCGCCTTTGGGCCTAATGTCGATGACAGGGATGATTTTTGGAGCTCAGGTGGGAAAGAGAAGCTAGAGAGAATGGAGGCGGACCCACTGGTTGCGGCCAAGTTTTGGAGTCCGCCCTCGGCCGTGGCGAACAAGTGCAGCTGCAGAATGGGAGATGGGTGGAAGCCCCGCCTGCCCTGAGGTCAGGAGGGCACCTCACTGGTGTGGCCGGCCTCTCCAAGGCCGCCGCCTTTGAAGTGAGAAGGGCAAACACCCTTGCCCTGAGGGCTCTGAAGTCCCTGTCCCGAGCGGTGGAAGAGAACTTCCTCTGCTATGTCTGCCAGCCCTGGGACTCCTACCTCTGGTACTTCCCGGAGGCAGAAGAGCTAAGGGAGACAAGAGGGATCCTTTCCACTTCGTTTCCCTTGTGCTGCTTTGGTGGGCCCAAGCGATGGGTGGAGCTCCTGCACAACTCCCCGGCGGTCCACAAAGCTTTGCACCGGCCCGCGTGCCGAGACCACGAAGAGGAGCACAAGGCCTGGTACGACAGCACAGGTCGGATTCGATTCGCCTGTTGCGAAGAGCTTCGCCTCCCTGGGGACCTGTGCGACGCCTTGGCGTTGGCGATCAAGAGGGATCTGGCTGAGATCTCCCCGCTCATCCCAGGCAAGCTCACCGATCGCACCATGGAGTGGCAGCTGATGGCACAGCTACGTGGTGCTTCCTCAAGCCTCAGAACACCCGCCGCGGAGGCAGCGTCTGAGGTGATTGCTCCCATTGCTAGGGAGATCTTGGAAGATCCTCTGGAGCATCTGCGGAAGATGCTGAGCCGGGGGCACTATCGAGGTACAGAGGTTCGGCTCATGGCTCCAAGTGAGCCAGACAACCTCAAAATGGTGCCCTACCCGGCGCACCTTTGGAGGTGGCGCAACACGTTGTCCTTTGCCTGGCACAACGAGGACAACATCACCACGCTGGAGATGTTGGCAGCTCTAGCTGAGATCCGACGCCGTGCGCGGCAGTTGAATACACAGGGGACAAGGTTCTTCCACATCCTTGACTCCCAGGTCGTGTATCATATCATGGCGAAAGGCAGAGCACACAGCAAGCGGCTTAATAGATTGGCTCGACGGATGATGGCGGTTCAGCTGGCGGCGCAACTGCAGGCGCTAGCGCTTTGGACCATTTCGGCATGGAATTTTGCCGATACTGCGTCCAGGAGATTTGCTCCTCACCATGGCTCCTAAGCTCCACCTTAGGTTCCAAGGTCTGAACCCCAAATCCCGAGCCAACTACCGCCGTGCCCTGCTCCGCTTTTTTGCGTTTCTTGCAAGGGAGGAATTAGAGCTGCCCAACACGGTGAAAGCCCTTGACTCAGCGCTTGGGGAATTCATGAATGAATCCTTTCAAGAGGGAGACTCACCTGGGTATGCTGGGGCTGCTGTGTCAGCCCTCAAACGTTTCCTCCCCCGACTGAGGTCGAGGCTTTATACTGCCACGCAATTATACTCCAACTGGATGAAAGTTTACAAGCCCTGCAGAGCCACGCCTGTCCCGTGGTCCATGGTGCAAGCCATGGCAGGAGCTGCACTTGCAGCTGGTCAAAAAAGGCTTGCAGTGGCACTTCTCATCCAGTTTCTCTTTTTTCTTCGCACTGCTGAAATTTACGGGCTGCGGCCCAGAGACGTTTCCTGCCTGCGCTCAGGGCACGTGGTGGTAGCTTTACCACACACCAAAACCTCCCGTGGGAGAGCGCAGAGCGTCTCACTCTTCGACCCTTTTTTATGCCGAGTGCTGCCTGCAGCCATGGCATCGTGGTCAACCGATCAATCAATAATTAACTCTTCGCTGCAAGTTTTTCGGGCAAGATTCCAGAAACTGGTAGTCTTCCTGGGGCTGGAAGAAGGCACCTTCCTCCCCTACGGCCTTCGCCGAGGAGGTGCCACTTTTCACTGGCAAACCTCACAGAACTTTGAAGCTACCATGATTATGGGAAGATGGCAGGATCAAAAAACCTGCCGCATCTACCTGGATGAAGCCCGCGCACTGCTGGTGCAGCAACAACTTACGGTTTCTGCCCTCCCTCGCCTCCCTCACTTCGTGCAGCAGTGCCGCCAGCTTCTGTTGAAGCCGTAACGCTGCGCGAGGAAGGCAATCGCTCTCGCTCACTTTTTGTGGGGAGCGCTTTTAAGTTGGGAGGCGCACCGCGGTGCAGTTTCACCTGTTTCCATGGCCTACCACCCGCGGGTGAGTAAAGGCCTTCATATGCCAGGAGACAGCTGGCCCATGTAGGCCCCCTGGCTTTTCACCCGTGCTGTGGCTTGTCCACGGTGCGCTGATCATGACCGCTGCCTCGGTCAGAAAAAGTGGTGTTCGCGTGGCACACGAGTCCAATGGGCCGTTGTCATGCATTAGGAGCACCCACGGCGCGCACCTTGCATGACATTTACTTTGGACGTCATGCGCGCGTAGCTTTTGGTCTCCCGCCCGTGCCCTCCCCGCACCGCGGTGCAGTAGGGAGGCGCACCGCGGTGCAGTTTCACCTGTTTCCATGGCCTACCACCCGCGGGTGAGTAAAGGCCTTCATATGCCAGGAGACAGCTGGCCCATGTAGGCCCCCTGGCTTTTCACCCGTGCTGTGGCTTGTCCACGGTGCGCTGATCATGACCGCTGCCTCGGTCAGAAAAAGTGGTGTTCGCGTGGCACACGAGTCCAAAAAGTTGTTCGTTTGCGATTCAAGCTTTGGGGTGGGGGCGGCTGCTGAAAGTGTCTATGAGCACTGGATTAATTAAGCGGGAAGACAGAGTTGATTCTGGACAGGGTGCATCACCTTACCTTGGTCACGGCGGTATGGCCTTGTTTGTCGCACCAGGGCCATGCTGAGCTTGCCAGGTTTTGTGGCTAGACGCTATGATATATTAACGATTTCTGCCTGCATTCGCAGATTGTGTCCGGCTAGACATGTGTTGAAGGCGGGACGCACATGTCGATGTGTTCCCTTTTTGTTTTGGAAATGGCTTTCAGCACCATGCATCTTGCACCTTCACCTACAAGAAAGGCGTTCCTCCGCCTCACGGATTCGCAGCAGAAGGCAGTGATGCAGAACATCTTGGCAGAAGCACTAGGAGATGGGATGCATTACTGTGGGCGCTGGTGCTTTCATGGCCATTGTTCCAGATCCTTCTCCATGTTTCGGCTTGGGTGCCGTATGTAGCAGTTCGGTTGTTGTCCAATCAGGACCGTGCAAGTCTTGCAACATACTTTGGTGGAGTGCGTGGCGGCTTTTGCAGCAGCTAGCTGGTAAAGAACGCAGTCCAGGCAAGGAAGAAAAGGTCCAAGGAATCGGTCGCAACCGTTTTTCTATGGCCCTCCTCGAGAGGACCGAGCGAGGAGAAAATGGTTGAGGTGCTGTCGAAGAACTGGGCCGACGATGAGCTTCATGGGTGCAAAAACGAGAACTGGGAAGGATCTCATTGGGACTGGAGTCTTTGGTCAGTTTAAAATCTAGTATGGCTGACTGTCAATGCCGTTTCTGCAAAGGCCCAGGCCAAATCCGAGGACACCTAGAAGCGGATGACCGCGAATTTCACGAAAATGGTGCCATCAACATCGTGATCTTGAAGTACTAATGCACGGGGTCAGTTTAATCACAGTCAGAGCATGAGTAGCTTGCTCCAAACACGTTGCTTTGCTCAGGACTTCTGTAGATAACCGACAGCACCAGGCTTCACACATACTTGCATGTCGCTGTTTCAGGTTTGCGCGGGGCGGCTACAACATTTTCTTCCCTCCCGGTGTCCTGTCCAGCTTTTGGCCTGCGGCACAACGCATCTACGAGCAGAGGCTCGTGGGATGATTTGTGTTTCTGCTGGGCTGTCACCTCATGTTCGTTTCCGCAATATGCCAACGCGTCACTCATCAGAGAGGCCAGGTGATGGGCAACGAAAGATCTGGTCAATTCCCGAACCCTGAAGAAACGAGGGACTTTGGGGGAGGGGAACAACCCTCGCGTTTTCTTATTTTGATACTTCCGGAAACCGGAAACCCACAAAGTGCCACAATGTCCTGTCGTGTTTAGGGTTTGTTTTTGGTAACGGTGCTCGAATGACTCCTGTCGCTTTGCATTTGAGTGTTTCGTTTTGAAGGCTCAAAAGTGCGCGAAACTGCTAAATCTGAGCTATGGAGGTCTTTTTCAAGGAGGCCTCAACCCTGTTTAAGCAGAGCGCCAGCTTGCTGGAGACTTCAGCCAACGCATGTCCAAACGCACAGCAAACGTCATTGCAGCAAGCTCTTGCCAACCACGCTGGCTTATAGTGAAGATTCTGAATCTGGCTGCGTCTGCCGGCAAAGACGTCTCTGCCCCTGCATCACGAGCAGACCCGACGATTGCAGTACTGATCTTGCTGGTCGCAATGATGTTCATCCCGTGCTGCTGTGCCATAAGACGGCGCATGTCTCAGGCTAGGCAGGCGATGACCCGGACCTGGATTCCTCCAAAACGCGCATTGCAGAGCAAGAAAGAAAAGGGGGCAAATCAAAGAAACAACAAATCAAGAGTTCGGGGCGGCAGCTCACAGCGTGGCACAAACAAACCCCCTACGGCCCTGCAACGTTCGAGGCAGCTGGGGCCGCCTGGGCTCTGGATTTCTGGTGGCGACTACAGCTTGCCCTGCCTCGGTTACATGAGCCCCCGGCAGACTTTAAAGCGCTACGGGTTGAGTTGCTTTGGGTTTCCGCAAAGGGGGTATTGTAGCACAAGAAAGCATAGGCAGGTGATTCGCCTGGCATCCCAGGCGCTGCCCACGAGTATCACGGCATGTACTGTCTATGTGCGTAGTCAGGTATATAGCATGCAGGGCTGCTGCATCCCCCTCCTCCCCCGCCCCATGGTATCCCCCCTTGCCTGTCAAGTGGGTAGTCTGCTTGTTTGGCCTTGTTGCTTTCCCCACCCTCCTCATTGGGCTTGTTTGGCCTTGTCCCCTCCGCCGCCCCTGTGGGGTGGGGCCTGTGGTCGTTGTGGTTGGCCCGCTCCGCCAGTGGCGGGCAGTGTTTTCTACGGATGTATATGGTTGCAGCCGCTTGTTAGTGTCATCGTCACATGCTCGTGGCCATGCTAGAATATTTGATGTTGCCCTGTTCTCCTTGCAAATAATGGTGGCCCTGTCCCTGCTCTGATGCGGGTTCTCCGCTCTGTGAAGAAGCATTGGCTGGGATCATTCTCCATCGTCCTCCCCCTATGCGGTTGTGCGGGACCGCTGGGAGGGGCCGGGCGCGGGCCGGGGATGGGGGCATGGGCGGGGGCGGGGGCGGTGTAGCTGCCCGAGACCCCAGAGCATATTGCCCACCTCCGAGATGCGAAAATAGAACAAACTCTGCAACAAACCAAATGCCAGAGTAAGCATGCCTCTGTTGATCAGCGCACTACCGGCTTGCGCGACTGCCTGTCGGCGATTACCGACCATACCATGAAGCGAACACCCTGCTGACGATGCTGATGACTTTTGCAAAATCTGCGGCTGAGCCGGAAACAGAAAGTAAGAAATGCAGACGAGCGCCTCCTTTTCTTGGGCGTATATGTTGTTGTAGCCAGCAAAGCCCACACCTCATGCGCTACCACGGCAGCACAGCAGGGATTTAGAGACAAACAGGATTAACAAGCTCCGCTCCAGCATGCAAGTGGCACAGCTCTCACGACACAGCCGGCGTGTGCATGAACATTTCCCCAGTTGTTCGACCCAAACAGCCGGCACGTGCATGAACATTTCCTCAGATGCTGGAATTTGGCGAAGGATTTGTGGTTCGGGTTTGTTGGTCGGAATGCATAGACCCGAGGAATGGCGCCATCCAGACGGGTGAAGAGACGGCCATGAAAATCATCAGGGAACTGCCATCGCGAGTGATTGTTTGAGAGCTGCAGTCGTCACAGAAGGCGCATGCAGCGGAGATTTTGTTGCCTTTGAGCAATGATGCGATGAGGTTGCAGCATAGGCTAGCCACGTCTTAGCAGAGCATGACTGGTTTGGGTTTATGTTGCCCATCCAAATTGCGACGTAGGCGGACCGACGTTAACCCTCTCAGGCATTAGACCGGTTGCCATTGCCCGTGACGGATAACACCCGGCCTCACGCCTCACAGCTGGACCCTACACCGCAATCAAAACGCTCATGCCGATGCGCACGGGTCGCGTGGTGGTTGGCCCGGCAGACTCGTGTGCACATTTCGGCCGAGCACCAGGCCAGAAGTGCTTGGTTGGGGATTTGTGCTTGCGTGCCGAGCTGTTCTCACCTGGGCATCATGTGGTTCAGTTTAGGACAGCAGCCAGATGTGCAGACACGGCTGACTGGCCAATACCTGCGCACATGCACGGCTACCAAAACCGTTGCTCAGAACTCCTGCGTAGCATTGGCACATTGACACTTTGCCGATTTGCACCTTTGCATATCTTGGCACCGCAGCCCACACGGCGTGATTGGACCACCGGCGTGTTGAATGAGCCCAAGCTTCAAGTCTTCAAGGATTGATGACACCATAAAGTTGCTGGACGATCACCTCGCTGACGTGTATCACGAGGTTGGGCTGGCGGCGGGAATCCTGATGTTTGAAGCCATGAGAGCCGGGTTTGTGTCATCAATTATGTTGTCGTTTTCAGGGCAGGGCTTCGGTGAGGTTTTTCATTAAGAAGGATGCATGTCAGGCGAGAGTATTGAGAACAAGTTGGCTTGCCAAAGGTTTTATTCGCAGCCGAGTGTACTGTCACCGTTCATGCATTATGACCTGCCATTGGCAATCCTGCTCAGATCTAGAAACTTGTTTGCTGAGTTCTCACCATTTGTTTGGTTTGATTGCGAGCTGCTGTAGAAAGAACTTGTTGCTCTCCTCCTTGGCAGAACATCCATGAGGTTAGCTAGCACCGTTAGCAGCTTTGCTGGGTGAACCTTGCTTGGATGGTTCTCCACTTCCAGGAAATTGAAGCTCGCCCCTCCTCGGCAAGCAAGGCTAAGGCCCGAGAAGCTCCAAGTAGAGACTCCACAATAATCTTAGCCGGCCCTCACTTCGACACCTCTTTGCTCAATACAGCCCAGGATGGGAGGGGATCAGGGGATCAGCTTATGTTCAGTCCCTGGCTCGTCTGGGGAGGTCGACTGCACTCGCATCGCGCTGGACCCGCGCTTCAAAAAAATGGATGGATCCATAGGTCTGGTCCTGATTGCTCTGGCCGTACTTGCACGGGGTGTTGGACTTGTACAGGATGTCATACAGGTGCGAAGCATGAGAGCAGAGCATTCTCGTCGTTGAGCTCTCCCGAATTTGGCCCCCAAGAACCGTCGCAGACACCGTCAGGTGCAGTTTACTACAATTTCCCGCATGCCGGGGCTGCGTGGGTCCAATCCTCAGTCCTGACTGTCGCGAGGTAGGCTCCTGACAAGTCATCCCGAGGCCTGCTCGCAACCAGCAGGTCGCAGTCATGCGCAAAAAAAGCATGCACAATGCACGTCATCTCATCACGGAGACGGAGACAGCGTGTCTGGTTTGTTCAAGTGTTCGTGGCATCCTGTTTCCAGCGAACACGCGCGAAACATGTTTAACAGGAGCAAAGTCAGCACATGACGGGGACGGCAGCAGTTTGTCAACCATTGCTTTCGGGCTCTGTTTCCACTGCTTCAAGAATTCTATGAAATTTCTATTCTCCGCTAAACGCCCCGGTGATGTATGAAATATCGCTCGGCGGGGATCGTGCTTTAGTCGTACAGGAAATGTTTAAGGGATAGTCAGGGTTGTGTTAGTCTATAGAGTTTGAATAGAGGACCAGTACCATGGACCATGTTTATATACCAGTGATACTACCAATAGGAACCAGTGGTATGGGTCATCACGCACAGGGGTGCTGTTGGCACTGGTACGATTGCCTAGTCTACGGCCGAGGGCTCGAGAGTTAAAAACTGGAGGTTAAGGAGTAGTTGAGGATCTAAGGCTTGTTACAGCCTAAGGATATTCTACATCCGCTGAACATGAAGGCTCCCCCGCCCCAACAGTAAAACCGAGTGTGGGCAGGAAAAATAGAATGTTAGAGGAGTATTCGGGGTCGGGTCGGGTCGGTTCGGCTGGGACTTGAACCAAGAGAGCCCAATGGGCCCAATGGTGTGCCACGGATGGACATGTATTCCTCTTCGCCAGTGCCCTGCCGCTAGCGGATACTGCTATAATTGAGAATAT